CCAGCGTAGGTGTTGCATACACGTTACATCATACATTAATAGGGATTCTAGAAACACCTCGGTCGCGCCCTCCTTTAGCTGCGTGCCACTCGGATATCTCGATGAAGGAATACAACATAGCTGTGTTAGGTGGGAGTCTCGTGATGATGTTAAACTCACCTGTCAATGTTGACGATGTTTTATCATAACGGAAATTGAGAAACCATTGGACGTGTCAGTGTGTTTCTGTATGTGGGCCATTTGAAATGAAAAGATTTAAATACTCGTGATTTAAACACAAAAACGTGACCTGTTATAAAGGTAATCTATAAAAGTATTTCATGAATATAAACAGCTGGGGAAGGAAAGTACACATTTACACGTGTACTATAGCTGTGTTCTGGAACTATATAAAGTTTGCAGAGTTTCAGCGGTTGTTTTCAGACTTAGCCAAGTTTGTAATTGTTTCATCAAATCAAAAATATAATCTTAGCTTTCTTCAGCATGACAGTATATGTAATGACATTCGAGGCTTTGAACAAGATTTGGAAACACATTGCCAGTCCTTCAAAGGTTTGTGAGCTAGAAGAATTTAAATATAGATTAAATTTAAATGTAATTTTCTGGTGCTTTAAAAATTATGAAATCTCGAACTCAGTGGGTATTTCATCGTCTACAAAAGATGTCAAAGACCGTTTGTTTTGAAGGTAGTAGTAGTTATGATAAAACAACCTTCAGCGTCCAACATATACTCTCAGTAACTTCTTTGAGTGGCATTTTAGAATTTAAGCTGGGAAGTACAAAACACACAGAATTTATGGATAACAACTTCTTTATATAAAGAAGTTTGTCTATTATATACTCTCATTAAAACTATGTTTCACTAAGTTCACTAATCTCATGAAAACATCTCTTTGCACTCGCGACACAAGTTGGCTGGCTCAAAAACAAAATGAAATCAATTATATTTGATGTGCGTAAACTGATTTAGCTATGAATAAACGTTGATCGATTGCAGCGATCGATAACCAGCGGATACAAGTTGGTAAGGAACGTCTTCACACGGGGAGTCGGGAACGCGCCCTCGTTTGTGGGAGTAATTATCGATTGATTGAGCAATTACAGGTGTTATTACACGGGTAGTGTATACAGGGGTGTGTTATCGGGGACATAACAATAACGATGGGTGGGTATATCGGGTCGTAAACCCGTCCCCCACTAATAGTGTAGACACGGCAGTAAACCATAAGGCGCATGAGTGACGATTGCCGTAGATCTGTCTGTCGTAATTAGGGCAAGCGTTCATTGACATTCCTTTGCATTGCAGTAGTGATTGGTCAAGTTATACAACCATCATTTCATACATTATAACATATCTAATAATTAACTATTGTTTTTGCATTTTCTTCGTCTTTAATGCTTTCTAAATGAACAAGTAAAATATGTTATAAAGTGATGCGATCATAATAGATCTTTTGTTAAATGCATTTACTCCGGTTGTAGCAATATCGCAGCCCAGCAACCAACATCGAGACCAGGGACTCTTAGAATGGTCTTCAAACGCTCTTCCGTGGAGATTCGAACCAAGACTTCCGGGGTGATGAGCAAACGCCTTTACCACTAGGATACCTCACCACCTCCTCCTTTTCCCTCTACTACTACTACTACTACTACTACTACTACTACTACTACTACTACTACTACTACTATAAACAACAACAATGCTGTCTTGTAATCTTCAAATCCTCTGTAGCAATTCAATAAAACTCGCCAAAATAGAATTCTCGGGTTATTTTTCTGAATATCAAAACAGAATCAACATTCAATCAGCTAGGGCTGCCATCAGATGTCCATTCACGGCTTTCACAAACAGTACAAAATTGATTTTAATGTCGTCTAACGATGAATATCGTATCAGAAACAGAATTGTCGTTGGGAGTCAATTCTGTCGGAAACATTTACCTGTCGATGTCGTTGCACAAGGCTGTATGAGGATTAAGCCTTGTTTAACTGGACTGTTCACAGACAGATGTTGGCTCTAGATATTGCTGTATGAACATTTATTTCACATAAAATGAACTGAAAACACACCAAATGATAATAATCTGACAGAACTCACTTCACGTGCAATGTGTCGCACGGTTGTAATAGTCCCGTTTCTTTGATATTTACCAGAGCGAGGAACTTGGTAATGTTTTCAAAATGATAATTTAACGTGGTTTGGATCGCGGGTTCCATTGTCCCGGGGTATGGGTCATTTACTTCTCCTCGTCGTTGTGCGGGTGTTTGTTTTACGGGCTCAAAATACAATGTTGGTGTTTTTGTATAATTATTCCTCATCCACCTATGATATGTATCGTAGTTCTGCTGGCCAACAAACCGTCAACATGTGCTGTACACACAATTAAATCATATCTCATTGTCATCCTGCGTGGTCCCAACTCCATTCTGTGAATAAACCGTTGTGAATTTCCACTTGTTTTAACAAGATTTTGTTAGATAGCAGTGAAATTATACAATTCATTAACTTTCCATTTACGGTTTAAACGTAAAAAATAATTGATCTTACACCAGCCCCCAAACACACATTTTTAACTGATTGAAAATATTCGACCTTATCTCTCTTAATGTTAACAATTTATTAAATTTATTTAAACAAAACCTGAGATATTAAAGTTGAAACATGTTATTCAGACAGGAAAACATCTGGTTCCTTCACTTGTGGACTTTGTTACAAAACCCGCGTCAGTTTTTGACAAGTTCGCTGTATCCGGATTTATGTGAGTGACACTTCGCAGATCCCGACTTGGCGGGAGAAGTGGTCATCTCACGTTGTCACGAGTGGTCAGTGAGCCAGCACGAGATGGCCATCTGCCAGCTGACACCCGGAAACGACCCGCTCAGAGACTCGGGGTGGACGAGTAGTTTGACCGCCGTATCGATCTCATCGTCAATGGTCCCTCCACAGTAACGCGGATGGTCTTGTCATGGTCCCCCCACAGTAACGCGGATGGTCTTGTCATGGTCCCCCCACAGTAACGCGGATGGTCTTGTCATGGTCCCCCCACAGTAACGCGGATGGTCTTGTCATGGTCCCCCCACAGTAACGCGGATGGTCTTGTCATGGTCCCCCCACAGTAACGCGGATGGTCTTGTCATGCAGAAAGTCAGCAGTGGATTCTTCTCAACAATGTTTCGAGTTTTACATTTTGAAAACCATAGCATGACATTATGGAGCATAATATAAGTGAAAGTTGGAAACCATAGCATGACATTATGGAGCATAATATAAGTGAAAGTTGGAAACCATAGCATGACATTATGGAGTATAATATAAGTGAAAGTTGAAAACCATAGCATGACATTATGGAGTATAATATAAGTGAAATTTGGAAACCATAGCATGACATTATGGAGTATAATATAAGTGAAAGTTGGAAACCATAGCATGACATTATGGAGCATAATATAAGTGAAACCAAATTTGGAAACCATAGCATGACATTATGGAGTATAATATAAGTGAAAGTTGGAAACCATAGCATGACATTATGGAGTATAATATAAGTGAAAGTTGGACCCCAGATTTGATGACAGGGTATATGGAAATATGTGATATAAAATACTATCGGAATTATACATTATTCCATGTCGTAACGTCTATGAGACGGAACGATGATGGTGTTGACAACGCCGTCATCAACATCTTCATTATTGTAGTGGGGTAAAACTGAGACAGTTTGACTGAGATATAACACCATACCAGCTTTTTTTCTGACAGTTTTTGATTTTCCTACGTACTTGGGAATGTTAGTCTGTGTCTCAGTCCCTGAACCACATTATTTTCCCTAGTGCCAAGCCCTCCCTGCAGTGCTATAGCCCTAAATAAAGCAAGTCTAGATTTCCTTAGGTTCTGAATCTCTGGTCTCCCTGGGGCTCCTTTTCAATTTAAATGGGCTTGTTTGTTACTATCAAGATTATATATATTCAGAGACTAAGCATTAGTCTATTGGTAATGTGAGAGACATCTTTGTTTCCAACACCGTCGACGTAAAGATTCAGAATGGCGTGATTCACAATCATCATACTAACAACAGTCGATGCGTTTCTCATACTCGCCAATGTCGGGACTTATTCTTGAGGACAAATATGTTTTTAAGTCTATTGCCTGAATGATAATTAATTCACTGTCAATGATTTTTTATTGATTTTCTCAAAATTTGTGATACATCTGTAACGTCGTAATACATCTGCAACGTCGTAATACATCTGCAACGTTGGGATACATCTGCAACGTTGTGGTACATCTGCAACATGCAGAACTATATTCGATCTCATCGTTCCTTTAAGGTACGTTTAAACTGAAACTGTAAAATGGATAAAAACTATTAGAATTTACCGTGATCTAAGTCAGTGTACGTGTAACTCCACGGCCATTGTGCACCACGAGAATGGTGGTAACTGTTTATATTAAAGCTACACTAATGGTCTGTGCAAACGTACGTGAAATGGAAACTGCATTAACTTGCTTTCAACAGGGTTTTTGATCACAGCCATGTAACGAATGTTTCACTTTGAATTTGTAAGAGATTCTCACTAAAACACCACTTCCATACTGAAATGTTTGGCTAGGGATTTATGGGTAAATATTTCGTTTTCAGCAGTGCGTTGGAAATCCGATATGTGTTCTTGAAGAATATACATACAAAGAGACGGGAGAGTGAGAATGTAGGTGTTGTATAAGCCCTACTCAGACCCCTTCTGAGGGTCGGGTGTTGAGGGGTCTGCCTCAGGGGACAGCCTCACTACTACCCTATGGGAGATCACTCCTCAATCTGAGCCAGTAACCACAGCGAGTGGCTGGTGCAGCTATCGCCTGTCAAGACAATCTGAACGCTGATTGGCCGACGTATGTGAGTGTGGCGTGTTCAATGGGCGATCAGCGTGAGGGTTTCTATGGTGACTGTGAAGGTGATTGGCAGGTGTTGGATCCGCCCCTTCAGCGTGTCATGATGTTATGGTACACGAAAACTTTCAGCACAAACTCCGAATAAGAGGCCGAGTGATCGTGTGTGGAATCTCATGGGCAGACATGCAAACCCGGACGTGAATGAACAATATAGGATTCTACCCTAATCTACGGACGTGTGTTCTGTGTTATAGGGATAGTTTCATACACCCAGGGACAGACACATCGCCACAGTCTCCGCAGCCTTTCATTTGGATTGCAGTAATTGTCCTAGTGTCAGTGGCATACCCGCTACACATTTTTACCTTTGGCCGTGCTTCTAAGTTAAAAGGCTGGCACTGTCAGTTGACCCGCGGGCTTTGATCCCGACCCTCAAGTTGGAGCCTGTGTCACGGCCCGTGGGGTGCGGCAGTGATTGTGAGGGTGGAGCAATGGTGCAGTGCGCTGGTTGTGAACGACCGATCTTGGACAGATTCCTATTGAATGTTTTGGACCGAGCGTGGCATGCTAAATGTGTTCAGTGCAGCGACTGCAAAAGTAATTTGACAGAAAAATGTTTCTATAGGGACGGAAAGTTGTACTGCCGAACAGATTTCTTCAGGTAAGACACTGTACAACTGTACAATAGTAACAGTACATTGTATTGAACTGACACCTCAATATTGATAGACGGAGGGCTTGGGCATTGCCTCGGATGCATTCACACATTTAAGTTAAAAATTGTGTCAACTTTGCATGGCTATTTGATGTAATTTCAACGGCCTCGCATGTCAATACTGCCATGCTTACACTACAATACCCTCTACTCACGTTGTCATGCTAAAATACTTAGACATAAACACACAGTCAGTTTGAGAAAATGTGTCAATATTTTCAATTTATTTTTTTACAATTCTGTTACAGTTTGCTTCACTAAAACAATATTTATTCAAAGTTTTGATTTTATTTCGAACCTGAACGTGAATTTAATTACAGGCTCGAGTGGAGTCGAGAGATAACTATTTGAAATAGTCTTAATTACACACATGGGCTATTTGTATTTTCAATAGAGTAGATTAATTATTTAGCCGGGTCTATTGGGAGTTTATCCATAACTAGTAATAACTCAACACGGTATTTCCTCAAAGGAGGAGGCGTGGATACAACTCGGAGATCGATGCTAAGCTTTGAACACATTGATTACATTTATAGGGTGAGAACACGGGTAGGTAGGTATGTAGGCATTACGAAGATATATGTGCATATTTGATATACCTTTGACAGAATGCATCGTATAAATACTTCCCTGTTGAACTTACATGTTTCATTTAAACATGAGAGCTACTCAAGAGTTTTTAAATCACTCGGTTAAACCAACACATACAGGTTTTCCATTTAATTCATGTTATACCACCTGAACAGACTTAGCTAAATTTGAACATTTTCAATAAAATTGCAGTAATATTCAAACCATTTCCTTGTGTAAGGACCGTATCATCTTACCGGGAAACTTTCCGAGGAGGATACAATATTCTAACATGCCGTGCAGTTGTACAATACAATGTGAACACAACATTTCTACAGCCTATACAATTGTAAAATACAATGTGAACACAACATTTTAACAACCATGCACAATAAAATGTGTGGACTTAAAACAAGGAAACAGTTCATCTAATATTTGTTTTCTATCCAAAGCCCGTTTTGTTGTTAACACAATTGTTTATTTATTTATTTTTATTTTTCAGACGGTACGGAACCAAGTGTGCTGGCTGTACACAAGGTATATCCCCTAACGATCTCGTGCGGAGGGCAAGAAACAAAGTGTTTCATTTAAAGTGTTTTACATGCATGGTATGTCGGAAACAGTTATCTACAGGGGAGGAACTCTATATATTAGATGAGAATAAATTCATCTGTAAAGAAGACTACATCAGCAGCAAGTTTTCAGGTAAGAGTGAGATAAAATGAATGTGTTTATGTTCTGGTTCAGGTTCACCCACATACGAACTCGGGTGTCCATGTCTCAGACTCCTCGCTTACGAAGCATCCCTTTCAGAAATATTCGTTTCATCCGTTTATGTATTTTTCCACTTTTCGTCAATTCCCATTCACAGTCCCCAACAGCCGTTTGATACAAATTGCCGGTAACTGTTCTGTTTGTTAGAAGTTCTCGCAAATTAACTTAATTTTATTCTAGGCGATAATCGGCTCCCATTTTAGCGCGCGGCCATCTAAACCTGTATCTCACGTGCTAATTGGCTCATGTTTAAAAGCCGGATAGAGCGACGCGTGCCGAAACCATTAAATTCAATCACTGCCTCATCAAATAGATAAGTGCCTATATTCACGATTAAAGTGAGGATTGTATACATACCATATAAATAAACAATATCGGATCCGATATCTGTCTTATTACAAAAGATTAGACGCATATTTGTTGAGTTAAAACATAAGCCATAATATTCTTATTGTCAGGGTTTGGGGAAAATGAATAACACCTCATTCATATACAACAAAACAACACGACCGCAGTATGATTCTCACCGAGTCTCGCATATACTCACATTTCTTAGGCGTTGAATGCTTTAATATGAATAGTTCTCAACATTTTTTTATTTTATGTTTGAGGCCTTTTACAAAAGGAATTCTTGTTATGCACAAGTCAAACTTGATTGTTGCTCAGACGGATGATCAAAGCTGTCTATATCCACCAGTTTGTGAGAGGGCGACAGAACGTACTCGGTGATGTAAAACAGTCTCTGCGTGTATCTCGGCCTATGTAAGGCTCTGTGGTGCGCTTACAATGCTCGAAATATTTTTCATAGCCTTGTTGAAATCAAGATGCTAACATACATTGCGGCAGCCGATCAGATTAAACAGGGTGGCGGGGAGGGTTAGCTCCTCTGGATGCTAAATATGATGACTTTATAACAAAACTTCAAACAGGAAAGTGTATTTTTTTCAGTCCGTTGTTCAAAAGACATTGAAATGTCGTCGGGATACCGAGTTAAACAGACCATTATAATGTTCCATAGTCGACTTATTTACTTTGTGTGAAATGAAGCTTTAACTATTAATAAAATGGTGAATATAACCTATTTTTAATTGATATAAATATTGATAACATTTTAGAGACCTCAGAAAATTAGAAGTTCATAATTACAGTTAAATACAAGACAATACTTGGTTCATATCCCCCACGGTCACAAGCGACAACGTTACAATGTCGTTGTCGTTGTCCCGGCGTCTAACCCAATGTGACGGGAGCCAGGGAGAGGAGAACAACTGCGACACCAACAGCCCCCTTCCCCCCTCACTGGCGCGGTGACACCGACGATCGAACTGAAGAACCCGCAACAATAGAACGTGTGTGGACAATGTACTCGGAGCTCCTACAATGGCAAGTGGAGCGGACTTCTGTTAGATTCTTTGGTCAAGTGCTCTCATCGATTGAATCTATTCTGAAATCAGAATGCTGGGCTACCCAGAGGCGCTGTCTGAATATCTAAACGTACAAAATGTCGAAATTCCTCCCTTCTGTTACCATGCCCCGCTCCTAAACCATCCCCCAATCTTGCCATAAGTGCCGATATGCTGTCAAATTAAAGTTGCGCACGGAAAAGAGTTTTGTAATATTTGAAAAGTTTGTAAATATCATTCGCCCATTAAGCAACTCTCTGTCCCATCCTCAGTATCTGCCAGACACATAGTGTGGTTCTGAATAAGCATTTACTCTGCGGCGACTCGTCCGGTTTGAAACGTCCCCATAAGCATCCCTATCGCTAACAATGAGGTACATTGATAACTCATCGACATATTGAACGCCAAATGGATAATACCACTGATAGGGATATGATAACATCGCCACGGTCTGGTAGACCGTACTACTTTCACTACGTTTCCATCAACAGCCCGCAATAGTCACATCGAATAACGCTGACGGCTCACGGATGAAAAATCGAATCTGTTTAAGCTATTAATCAGATATGTTTCTGTTTGGTTTAGTGGAAATACTTGAGAAAAAACACGAGGGTATGTTTGTAGTGTTTTAACATTCGCTGAATAAACATCACAAGTCGGAATTGTTTAGGAGCGCCATATCTGATGCCACTTATACCCACAACATTTAGAACGCAATCACCATTGCCGAGTTCGGTGCAAATCTTGCGTCATAACAATAGGAGCTGGAAAAAAGGGTAATCGTTTCAACTTTAGTCTTTGACATGTTTCATAAATAATGTGACACGTACAAAATTGAATTGAGATGTCTGCAGCGGGGGAAATAATTGTTTTTTAACGAGATTGCGGAAACATTTATCCAGGAACAATAGCAGCAACAATTAGTAGACTGCACATCGTTTAACACAGAGGATGGTTCAGCGCCGAGAGATAGATATCGCAGGGTTGGGGAATTAGGGTCCCGTTGAGTTATCGCGTTCTGTGTTTAGACCAAAGGATACCAAACCCTTAAGTCCTATTTCCAAAACAAACCACGGGCGAGAAGAGCAGGGTGGCCACTGAACCTATGTATACAGCCAGCCCCGTCCACGCTGAAGTCGGTTACAGATGCCATGTGACTGTACGATAAAGAGCATATATGTAGGCTTCAGCTGCTTGTAGGAGTGTGATGCCGTCATACACATAGGGGCCCAGACTACGGGTGGTATCCCCGGCCCTTTTAAGTCCCCCTTCTCACAGCGTTCGTGAATGGGAAACATGTATATGGTGCTTTTACAACTGCAGTGAACGTGTATAGTATTGTTGTATTATGTCTGAGCGACAAATTTACCCGTGTTTTCGCCGCAGCAATGGCTGCCCGTTTCTTTTTAAGCACCGAAGCACGGATAAATAAAATTTTACGACATCTGTGTACAAGTTTGGACAAAGAGATGCATCTATCTCGAGAGTTTAGTTCCTAAACGTTTATGTTACTTGTTGAACGCAAGGGGGTATACTTAGATAGACAACCCGCTGCTTCTCATAAAGAAATCACAGGCCAGTTTATACCTCTGAAAACAATACAGTATCCAGAGATTAAAGTGAACGCTATAAGACGATACGTTATTTTAATGAATCGAGAAATTTTGGACCACTAAATAATATAACTGAAGACTTGAGCACAAACGATGTGCCGCTTCGCCGCTTCCAGTAACAAGCGGAGAACGCAAATAAGGCACTAAAAGTATGTTTATTGAATAAACTTTTAGAAATTCATTTAAGAAAAGTTTTGCAATGGCAGATAATTTTTCTTTGATCTTGGGCAAGGGTAACAGTCATGCTGTGGAAGGTCGCGCGAAGGATGCGCTTCAGGAGATGTATGGGGTGTATCGATGTACGGCTAGATCGATGTTCATGCGATACACCTAGATACCCGCACGAGGTTATTAAACATACATTGTTACATGCATGATCCACCGCGAATATTCACCAAAAGTCAATTACAGATTTCCAGATGCATTTGATTATATTAATTGTCTTGTAAATGAATTTTTCAGTTGATGATTTTTAACTCTTGTAATGTTTATATAATTATTATTTATGTTAAATTGCTTAGAAATATATCAAATTACTTACCGGAAATTGGAAACTATTGAGGAAATGTTAATTTTCACCAAGTTGTCACTTGGATTATACAGCGCGCGTGAAAATATACAGATATGTCAGAATATATATCTAGAAAAATAAGCACCAAATAATGAAACTAAAGCAGGCATTGCGATAGCTATCGACAGATATGTAAACGGTCATGGCAGAAATGCGTAATTCTTGGTTTTTAAAATACTCACCTGTCTAATGCCCTAACGGCTGAGTAACTAGCAGTATCAGACTACTCGCCTTATGATGAACGAGGAGTGAAGAGATGTTCTCATCAAACAAGTGACTTGGGAATATTTTACATATATCCTTCCCTAACAGAATTTTAATGACCGTAGTTGAGGGGTTCCTGCTTCTAGGAGAGCGGCTGGTTTGCCGTTTAGCTGCCCGTAACGGCTTTACAGAACTGACGAGTGAAAAGTGCCATTTACTCTGAGGTTTGGCTCTAAACTCATTTATTTTCCCGATTGGTGAATGTATGTATGTAAATACACGCTACAAATAGCGAGTCTCGTACACCATTTTCAGCTCGTGTCAACTTATCGTTTTCCGTTTTTTGAACGTTTCGTATTTTCTTGTTTTCATTACTATCGCAAATATTACCACGTGTATATTTTTGTTTGATATAACTCTGAAAGAGTTGACTATTATCTAGAGAAAGCTGTTTTATTTTTACATGCTATGGAATTTCATGTTTTTAATTTGATCGAAATTAATACGTTAACCTGTTTTATTACGTAAAACCTACACATTTACTTCGCCTTACCGTTTCACTAAACTTGTTTTTAAAATACCAATAATCAAACCTCGACGGGAGTTCAGTAATTGACGAGTGATCCAAGAAAAGAATCACCTAATTGGTTATTTCAGTAGCTGAAATGCGAAAATTAGTGCAAAATGTCTTTGAAAAATTCATGAGTATTTCAACGTGGTTCTGTGAAATATGGTCCAAGAGAAGATAACACGTGCAAATAGTGAAATTTCTCGCGGATGATCAAACGTTGTCTCAATCTCGCTACTGTGTTAGTCCTGTCCGTGCACGAATCTCTTTCACAACACACTTAACACTCGTTTAATAAAATTAACTTACACAACTCCATCCGCCCATCTGTAATGTAAATTTAATTGGCACAGTAAATTGATGCGCGCGTTTAGAATCGTAATCGGATTGAATGCACCTTGTCACCAAACGCGCTCTAATGTGTAGTCCGTCTCATTCCTCGCGCGTGCATTGAAACGCGCCGCGGCACGTGCGAAAAATGCTATCTTTGCTTCAAATTGTTCCTACATGTATGGCGTCTCTTTTCAAATATCCAGTATGACAGACAATACGATTGGGTTGATTTGTAGCCA